TAGCGTGAAAAGATGACTTAGAAAAGTATATTTTTGATTCTTATAAACGTTTCTTTTATGCAATGTATTTATTCATAAGTAAAAATAATTTTTTAAAGTGTTGCATCAAGCCATTTAATTTTCACACATGTTAAAATTAAAGAAATATACAATTAATTTATCATTTTAGAATAATTTCTATTTCAAATTATTATTATATTAATAAATTTTCAAACATCATTTGCTTTTCTTTAATTTACATATTTTCATTAAACCCTCGTACTAATATCCCGAGAAAAAATTATATTATATAATTTTATTTAATAAATATATAGTAACACAATTATTCTCATGTTCATACAGTATCATCAAATATTTAATTTTAATAAATCATTTTAATCATTGATTTAATTTTATATTTCTTTTTTTGAGCTATTATAATTTTCAGAAAAAATGCTTAATTTTGACGTATTGGTTTTTGACTATTGATAGTTAAATGAAATTTAAGGTTTATTTTAAGTATAATTCGATTAAAAAGGAAGATTTTCAGACTACTTGAGCTCTAAAAATAATGATCTACTTCAAACGATTATCATGTAATTTTCGGTGGATATAATAATTACATACAAATCTCTCAAACTATTTGTATAACATATGGATCAAAATGAAATAATTATAGGTAATATTTAAGACAAGTGTCTGACTTTCAACAAATTTGTTTGAAATTTCATTTCATTTGCCAAATTACTGAGAGAAGGCATCTTATGATGTTCTTTTAATTTTAATAAAAATTCAATTTTCGATAATATTCCAAAAAAACTACTTTCTTTAAATTTACATTAATTAAAAGCTGAACAATGTATTTAAAAATGAAAAAATAGAATATTCTTCATATCTCAGAAATTATTGGACATTAAATCCAATTAACATACAATTTTCGATTTATATAGTCAATTTACTTAGCAATGACACAATTACACTATTCAAAACTAAATCAAATTATAGATTAATTAATTTATCTAATTTTATAGCATCTATATGGTTTTTAAAAAGAATGACGATTTTTAAAACACAAAACAGGAACAAAATTAAATACAGTGATTTAAATCAACGTCAACTTCGCATTGAATCTAACATTTTTCTGGAAATCAATTTATAAATAAAAAATGTATAATCTGTAACTTACATATACAAATAATTAATTTATCTGTCATAAAATTTACACTAGCTATTATATACGTATATACATACGTGTGAAATTGTTCATTGTATACTATGCAACTTATCTTAAAATAGTAATTATGTTATGTTCATTTTAATACAATAAACTGAAAATCACTAAAAGCACTGATGAATAATATCCCAAGATAGGGATATTTAAAATTAATAGGCACTGGTTTTCTAAGAGATATCACTTTTGAACCTCTGAATTCAAAATTATTTTGTCAAGTTTATATTTCTAAAATCTAGCCGCGACCCCGTGTTGTCATCGGTACATTTTCAAACGATATTGATGTATAATTATTTTGCGTCGAGACTTTATTTATTTATGTAAAAAAGACACATTGTAGAATTTTCGTGTGTGCGAATGAGCAATTTCAAGAAAAATTTTCGAATTTAATATTTGACTATCGACGATCTTTACGCTAGCTGTCTGAAAGAAGTAAGTATATTAACCCAATTATCTAGAATTAAAAATTTGAGTGAAAAATGAGAAAGCAATAGATTGTAGGGATTAACAAAGATGTTAAATAACATGTCACAATGAATGCGTTTAAATATGTTTATATGTTTTATCTTAGATGTACTGCAGTACGATAACACTCCGTGTATTTTTTTTTATTCTCGCGCTGTTCGTCAATCCAGTGACACTTTTTATTTTGTACTCTTTTTTTATGTATGTATAAAATCATTTTTCATTATTAAAAAGTATTAATTATTATAAATTTTAATTGTAGTATTTTGTAATAAATATAAACACCAAAACACTACAAATTGGTGACCTCTAAAATGAACAACAAATCCGATAGTAAGTGTGCGTGACGACGCGACCGGTAATGATGGCCGAGACCATATCGAATACGGCGAGCCCAATATGAATTCTACGCGAGCGTTTAAAATCCCAACTTTCTGGCGTACCAACCCAGAACTTTGGTTCAAACAAATTGAATCCGTTTTTTATACAACCAGAATTACAGCTGACGCAAGTAAATTTCATCACGTTGTTTCTTCTATGGAAAGTGAAATTCTTGCTCAAGTTAGTGACATAATACTCAATCCACCAGAAACGAAAATGTACGAAGCATTAAAAACCCGGCTCATCGAAAGATTTTCCGAATCTGAACAATGTCGGCTTAAAAAATTACTGACCGAAGTCGAACTCGGTGATCGGAAACCATCCCATTTTCTTTCAGAAATGCGTCAACTAGCTAATGGAAAAGTAACTGATGAAATACTCAAAATACTATGGATACAAAGGTTACCACATCAGGTAAAAACTATCATTTCAGCTAGCAACGACAAGTTGGATAACTTAGCTTCGATGGCAGATAAAATTATCGAAGTATCGGACAGCCGAAATGATGGTTTTTCCATTGCCAACATTAGTGACAAGGTCACAAACCGTCAGTCACATGAACAAGCTGACGATGCAACGACAATAAGAAAATTGGAACACCAGATCGCAGCACTCGCACAAGCAGTAGAGCGACTTAGCAACAGCAACTCTCGTAGCTACAATAGGCGTCACTCAAAATCACCTATGCGCCGAGACAATTCACGACCACGATATGATACATGTTATTATCATTACCGATTCAAAGATAAGGCTACTAAATGCAAACCACCGTGTAAATACCAGCACACGTCGGAAAACTATAAACGATCTACTGTCGAGACGACCGACGGTAGTGAGTTTCAATCTCGTCGTCTATTTATTGTTGATAAAATAACAAAAACTCAATACTTAATTGATACTGGTGCGGACTTTTCGGTTTGGCCAGCAGATCCTAAGCAGAAACGCAATAAAATAAAAGATGGTAACCCTACTTTATTCGCAGCCAACGGGTCAATAATAAAAACATACGGTGACAAATTAATTGCTGTAAATTTAGGTTTAAGACGTGTTTTTAAATGGAAATTTATTGTCGCAGCAGTCAGTAAACCAATTATAGGTGCTGACTTTCTCCACTACTTCGGCTTATTAGTGGACTTAAGAAGTAAACGCCTAATTGATGAAAATACCAATTTAGCCACCGCCGGAAAAGTTAAAAAGACGATATCCTCGGGCATCTTCGCTTTTAAAGACGATTCAGCGTACATTAAGTTACTCAAAAAATTTCCGCAAGTATTAAGAACAAACATGATCCCAATGGATTGTAAACATAACGTTACACATCATATCATCACTAAAGGACCACCACTCTTCGCTAAACCAAGACGCCTTCCTCCGGATCGACTAGAGATCGCAAAAAAAGAATTTGCTTATTTAGTAGAACAGGGCATATGCCGACCTTCAAATAGTCCGTGGGCCAGCCCATTACAACTAGTAAAAAAGAAGAACGGTGAATGGAGACCGTGCGGCGACTACCGTAGGTTAAACGCAGTCACATTACCGGACAGATACCCCATTCCACACATTCAAGACATCACACAGCGATTGCAAAATAAAAGTATTTTTTCAAAAATCGATTTGGTTAAAGCTTTTAACCATATACCAATAGAACCGTCCGATATTCCAAAAACAGCTATTACAACACCTTTTGGGTTATTTGAGTTTGTTCGGATGGGATACGGTTTTAAAAATGCAGCTCAAACATTTCAGCGTTTCATACACGGTGTTTTAAAAGACTTAGATTTTTGTGAAGTGTATTTGGACGATATTTTAATTGCATCGTCTTCAACACAAGAGCATTTGAGTCACCTCGAACGTGTATTACAACGACTCAGTGAGTACGGCATTGTGATAAATACGAATAAATGTATATTTGGAAAAGAAGAGGTACTATTTTTAGGATACATCATATCGGGTAACGGTCTTAGACCAAATCCTGAAAAACTGGAAGCGATAGACAAATATCCACGGCCGAATAATGTACAAGAGCTTCGACGTTTTTTGGCTATGTGCAATTTTTACCGCCGTTGTATCCCAAACGCAGCAAGTACACAAGCTATTCTTCACGATTATCTTAAAAACAGCAAAAAAAACGACAAAACACCAATTGTATGGACCGATCAATCAACGGGAGCGTTCGAGAAAACTAAAGAAGACTTAAAGCGAGCCACAACATTATCGTATCTAGATCCGGCCGCGAATATTCAATTACGATGTGACGCGTCAGATATGGCGATAGGCGCAGTAATAGAACAATTTAAAAACGGCGTTTGGCAACCACTTGCTTTTTTCTCTCGCAAACTTGACCAAACACAAAAAAAATACTGTGCATACGATCGTGAACTTCTTGCGGTATATGAAGCCATTAAGCATTTTCGCTATATGCTGGAAGCCCGTGAATTTGAAATAATTACGGACCATAAGCCGTTAGTATACGCATTCACACAACACTCAGATAAATTACCACCTCGACGTGCACGACAACTTGATTTTATTAGTCAGTTTACAACATCAATACGGCACGTAACAGGTACACAGAATACAGTGGCCGATGCGTTATCGAGAATAGAAACTATAAATGCACCGCCACCGCTAGATTATGACAAGTTAGCTTACGACCAGTTAGCAGACGCAGAACTATTGTCGTTATTGTCAAAACCGGAATTATCGATAAAACTAGAGCTCGTAAATATGCCCACTACGAACACAAATATTTACTGCGATACTTCTAATGGTAGACAACGACCGTATCTTACCAAACAATTTCGCCGCAATGTGTTCAATTGTCTACATAATCTCGCTCACCCAGGTATACGGTCAACAATAAAATTAGTGAGTAGTCGTTTCGTGTGGCCGTCGATGAACAGTGATTGTGCGAAATGGACTCAGATGTTTAGATAGATGTTTAGCATGTCAAAAGTCAAAAATAACGCGACATGTTATAAGTCCGTGTGGTATTTTTAATGTGCCGAGTGATCGTTTTTCGCATGTACACATCGATATAATCGGTCCTATGGTCATGTCACGTGGTTGTACTTACTGTTTAACCGCTATAGACAGATTTTCTAGATGGCCAGAAGTTTTTCCAATTCAGGATATTTCGGCTGAAACCATAGCTCGTACGTTATTTGAAGGCTGGATAGCTCGATATGGAGTTATGGAGAGATTGACAACAGATCAAGGACGGCAATTTGAGTCTACTCTGTTCACCGCAGTAACGCAAATTTTAGGGTTTAGAAGAATACGTACATCAGCATATCATCCACCAGCCAATGGTTTAGTTGAACGATTCCACCGATCACTTAAAACGGCAATAAAGTGTTACGAAACTGAGCACTGGACAGATGTACTCCCCTCAGTTCTTATGGGCCTTAGATCAGTGATTAAAGAAGATCTAGGTTTAACACCTGCAGAAATTGTATTTGGAAGTACGATTAGATTACCTAATGAGTTTTTTATGCAGTCATCAGTGGCGACAGACCCTTGTTCCTTTGCTGAAACACTAAAGAAAACAATGGAAACCATACGCCCAGTGTCAACTTCAAACCACGGAAGTAAAAAAGTTTTTATATATAAAGATCTAGCATCCTGTTCACACGTTTTCGTTCGGGTCGACCGGGTCAAGAAACCGCTAGAACAACCATATGAAGGGCCGTACAAAATTGTTCAACGATACGAAAAAACCTTTAAATTATTAATTAGGCAAAAAGAATGTATCATATCAATAGACAGACTGAAGCCATGTTTCAACGAAAATGAAGATAATAACACAAATCTATCAATAACAACGAACCAGCACAACCAGAGAAATACAACTACAAGACCAACAATAATACAAACAAAACAAACCAAGTCAGGAAGAACCATCCGCCTCCCCGTAAGGTTTTTGTAAATTGTGAATTGTATAACTTTTATATTTGTATTTGTATTTTTATATTTGATATTTGTAACTATGTATGTTTAACGTAAAATTATCGTTTTCACTGGAAAGGGGGTAATGTAGGGATTAACAAAGATGTTAAATAACATGTCACAATGAATGCGTTTAAATATGTTTATATGTTTTATCTTAGATGTACTGCAGTACGATAACACTCCGTGTATTTTTTTTTATTCTCGCGCTGTTCGTCAATCCAGTGACACTTTTTATTTTGTACTCTTTTTTTATGTATGTATAAAATCATTTTTCATTATTAAAAAGTATTAATTATTATAAATTTTAATTGTAGTATTTTGTAATAAATATAAACACCAAAACACTACAAGATCAATAATCTCTTTTAATTTCAAAAGGAAATTTTACTAATTTGTTTGCACTTTTTACAAATATACATTATAGGGACTCGAGCTTCAGATTAACGCCCCGTTGTGTCAGTGTCTTATGTAAGGTGCTTACTAATTAATTAGTCTTTATTCCTCAATAATTGTTCTAACCCCTCGGACTCTGCAACCCCAATAGAGATATAAATATATTTTAACAAACAAATAATAACCCAGAATAAACCGTCATCGCATTAAACTTGAATACTAAGTAGCCTTTTCATTAAATTTTATTTTGAGTTACTACAAATATTAAAAAAAAATATTAAATTTTTTAAATAACTATGACTAATAGAAATGTAAAAATATTAATCCTAACAAGTTTTCTTAGCCTGTATAAATAATAGGTACATTTTTAGAATATTATGCAATAACATTAACATTAATTTAAATTAAAAGTAACTATTAAAATTTAATAAATGTTAAATTAAAAATAACTATTCAAAATAGATTTATAAGTTATATAGTTATTTATATTAAATGATCATTTGTGTTAACACCAGGGGCGAGAAATGATATGACGCTTACCCGATGATTAGTAGGGAAGGCTTTTAGTACATTTAAATTTATTTCGAAAGAATGTTGTGATCATTGGTTCACATAAAAGTATTTAAATTTTTTACAATTAACAATATAATAAAATTTCGAAAATTTACAATGACACTTGTGTAAAAATAAATATATTTCAATATTAATAAATGTGATTTTTTGTTAATACGCATAAATACAAATACAAAGAATGTTCAATATAAATAATTAGTAGTAAATTTATAGTTTTTAACTTTAGTTTTAGTTATTATCGAGGTGAACATAATGCCCATGCTCTCAGATCTGTTGGTCCATTGTGCGCACCTCATACCGAATTGTTTTGATTCGGTTTACTACCTAAGTGTTATTACCGAAGTGTTAATACATTATACCAACCTTAAAGTCACCTCTATAGATGACCAAATAGTCTTGTCTTTTCGAAGAAATTAATTATCTTTCTGGGTTTTAGGTTTTTAATATCTTCTTTTTCAGAAAAAGGTTTACTTAAGTAGTTTGATCTTAGTGTGAACAAGGCTTCACATTCGCACATAATTTGAAATGAGTCATTCCTTTTCTACTCCACACTTCCTGCACAATGGTGATTCTAATACTCCCATTGCGTTAAGATGTTTAAGCAGTTGACCATGTCCTCTTAGTAGACCAGTTAAAGTGATTATCTTATGTCTAGTCATGCTATTAAAATCACCCAAAAGTAGATCAGGGTTCATAATAAACATTTTAGATTGTCTAGGTACTACCAAGTACTTCCAGATATTCCGGTGTTGTTCTTGGGTAGCACTTTGAGTGATTGCTCAGTAAGTCCTACCACTGGTTCTGGCCTAAAATAGGTGGTCTTTGCTCCTTTTTTGGCAGAAAGTCAGCATTTTTATTTCCAGTGACAACGTTGTGTCCTGATACCCACGCTAGTGTAACTTTGTTGAACCTCGATAGTGATATCAAATTTTCCCTGCTTTCGAGGACCAACTTTGATTTCACTTGATCATGGCAGAGTGCTTTCAATGCCGTTTGACTGTCACTTAAGATAGTTATTTTCCTATTTTTGTATACCAGCAGGTTCTGAGGCCAATACCAGTATTTCCATCACCTTTGCTTGAAAACAGAAGGTGTTATGCACAATGACATATTGACATTTATTCGTGGCTTTAAACCTCAAATTCCAGAATTACCTTTCCTGATATTTTGGATCCATCTGTATATATTACAAATCCTCCTTTTACAGTCAGCTGGTTAATATTCCATTCCCTTCGTGTAGTAATCTCCATTTTCTAGGGAATGTTAACAAGAGAACAAGGCTCTGCTGCAAGTCTACAGTATGATATTGTCAAAAGCCCCTTCGATGTCCAGGAATATACCTACTGCATATATTTTATTCTCCACAACTTTCCCTATCTGAGTCGTTAGTCAGTGTAGAGCTGTATCAGTAGATATCGCTGTTTGATACGCATGTTGCTTATCATAGAAAGGATGCTCCTTTAAAGGCCCCTCCTTGATGTACCTATCAATAAGTTTCTCCATAATATTAAGAAAAAATGAAGTAAGACTTATTGGTCTATAGAATTTTGCTTGATAAAAGTTAGTCTGGTTAGGTTTGGGTATAAACAACACCCTGACCTTTCGTCAGCTTTTCGATTAATAACCATAGGCAAGTCATGCCCTAAATATTGTGATCAGCCTCGTCTATATTATTAGAAAAAGGAACGTCTATTAATTTCAAAGTATTTATTGGAAATATCAAAGTAGAAATATAATAAATTCACCAAAAATATATAAGTTTTAGAATTAAATTTTATCTATACATAGATTAAGTAGGCACAAGAAAAAAAAAGTGAACATCAATAAATATACCAAATATATTTAATAAATCAATAATGTATATACGAAGTTAGGTGGCAGAGTTATATTATTGATACATGTCTATTTCAGGAGTTAAGTAGAAGGATCATATATAGCCACCATACTCTGGATAGAGACACGAGGTGACTCCATACATCCATATGGTTTTTAAAAAGAAAGACTTGATTTTATAATACAAGATAGGATCAAAATGAAATAACAGTGATTTAAATTACTGTAAGATTTGCATTGAAGCTATCATTTCTCTGGAAATAGTATAAATAGTAGAAAAAATATTTACATTTTTATTTAATTATGAAAATTAGAAATGTTAAATTTATGTAATTGTTGAATAATATAAACATTTAGTTTTAACGGAATTCTTTTTAAAAGGCAAAATTATTATAAATAAAATGATTTAATAATTATACAAATTTATATATTAACTAATTAATTAATATGTTTGCCAATGTTACATTATAAATAATGAAAAAAGTTAATACTTAAACTGTGTTTTAATATTGAAAGTATTTTAATATGGACTCAATCTAAAATAATTTTTGACCGAGGTTATTTAAAAAAATTAAAATTATTACTTGTAAAGCTTTCCAAAAATATAAATTATATGAATAATAGTTTGAAATCTAATTTATTTTACTAAACGAATTAAATATATATTTCTTGAATAAATACATGTGCGTTTGCGTCAATGCATAAATTGTGTTATATATTATTTACACGCATTTAGAGAAATGTAGGGCAAGTTAACATCCTTAAGCTATAATTAACTCTTAAAGAAAATATTCATCATAAAATTTTGTTAGAAATATTTCTTGATATATTTGACCAATTGGTAAAATGCTGATTATTTAAAAGAATATGAATTAATTAAAAAAAGTAAATTTCTAATATTTTTTTAACAGGAATGTTATAATTGTATTTCTTAATTTAGGAATTGATAAAAAAATAGCTAAATATGTATTACCTAATTGAAAGGGAGTCCCCTCCTGTCAAACATAGAAAAATCTTAAGTATATTATAAAAGTTTGTCATTGTTTTCACAAAAAATTTTATTTTAAACGTTTTCATTAAAAATTTCCAAACATAACTATTTTTTTTTAAATCGAAAAAGATCATATTGCTTGAAATGACAACTCGCCGCACTTTCTTTGATTAAAATATAATTTTATCTATCTATCAATGTCGTACCGATATAATTCAAACAAAATACAAACATCTTTCTATATGTTACAGTATAGTTCATAAAATTAGTATTTCAAAATACGTAATTCAAAAGTTAACTTTTTATGATTGTTTGTGAATTTCATTAGAATAGTTCATCTTGCAAACATTTAAAAGTTTTAAATTACATTGGTATTAATTCAGTTAAGTCAAAATAAACTGTTTAAAATAGATACATAAGTCAAATAGTATATTATTTTAAGTATAATGATCATTTACTTTTTTCGATCAATCATTTCATTAAAAAATATTCCAATTTTTGCTTATATAAATAATTAATAAATCATATTTTAAATAACAATTGTTCATATATTATTTTAGTACATAATAAAAGTTTATTTTTGATCATGTTTTAAAAATACACTAGTGACTACTAATTATAAATACTCTTGTTACTGTTAATCCTGTAATTCAGTAAATTTTTGTTAGTATATAATTTATTTCAAAACTGTTTTATTTTAATTTATAAACATTTGTCAAATTTAAACATTATTGAATATTCTCTTAGTACAATAATATGTTACTCAATAAATTGAAATTAATAAAATTTTTATTCAAACATTCAACCAATCTATTTGTGTTGATCTAAATAATATCACATTTACAGACGTAGATTCACTACAAACGGAATACCGCAATATGAATTATGTCATTCTTGTAGAACATCCTTATTATATAAAATCACACGATGGGGATAACTTTTGTCCAGTACCTTACGATCACGTAGTACAATATAATGAAATTTCTTATGAAGGTATAGAAATAATAAATAAAACACTGGAGGCTGTGGTTTGTAACTGTGTGGCAAAAGAAAAATATAAATTGGCTTATACGATTTTTTTGAATGCTATTGAAAGTATGGCCTTTACATACATGTATCTGTTCTGTGAGTTTGCAATAGAAATGAATAAAAAACATGCTGAAATATCATTTAACTTAAAAATATTTAGTGAAAAACTAGCTCAACTTATACCGATAATTAATAAAGAATGGATTTCTCCTGAACCGTATGAATGCATTTTAGATGTTTACAAAAATCACAAATCTGAGGAATACAATTTTAATGAATTAAACAGAAATTACAGAAATGCTTTATTAAACTGCATGAAGTTAATGGAAGATAAAGTGCACTTTTTAAAAGAACCTGAAAAAGTATTAATGAAAGAAATGAATAAAAATGAGTTAAAAGATTACCATAATATGAGTTATTCAATTATTTGTTATCACTTGACTTTAGCACAATATTCACCTCCTTATAAATATATAACTGGAGATATATGTAAGAAGGATTTTTTTTTTTTTAGTTTTCAAAATCTCAACTTTTAATTTAAGTATATATTTGGTAAAAAAATATTATTAAAAAACTACTCTTCGGAGTTGTCGGCTATAGTTTTTAATTAGTTATAAAAGCGATAAAAAAAATACTTAAAATGCTTTTGAACTGAGACTAAAATTCTTGAAATTATTATCGATAAATTATTTAACAATTTTTTCTTTTTTTTCTGCAGATCAAATCGCATGTGCTAAATGTAATAGAAAACACGATAACAGTGTTTTAAATTGGAAAATTTACTTTTTTTCCCCGTGTGGACATGGCTGGTCATGTGAAAGGTGTGTTAAAAAAATTGAAGCTTGTCCTGTATGTAATGAATTGATTACAAGTACTCAAGATCTAAATATAGAAACATCTGTGTCAATAGTACCCGAAGGTATAAAAATTATAATTGCTTAGTGAAACATTAATGAAGTAAAATATTGAGGTTGAAATAAATAAAAACTTGAGTGGTCTAAGAACCTTTTTTTTTGCTTATCACATAGTCTTACTAACGTTAAAGTTATATATTTTCAATTTTAATAATTAGCAAATTAAGGGCGGGAAAAAGACCCTTTAGCTCTCTTTTGGCTTTGCCACTATTATATATATCCATCCAAAACTACACGATTTACAAATTAAGAAAACTCATTACTTTACACTTTACTGAAAACATTTCTTAGTAACCTGTTTAGGAACTTTTTATGGACATATTTTTAAATATTATCAATAACAAATTTTTCAAAAATAATTAAAATGAAATCATGTTTATTTTAAATAGTAGTTATAACATTTCTGCTAGAACGATATATTATTGTTCTTATGGCTTTTTAAATTTAACAGAAATACATTTATATTCAAAAANTAATAACATTTCTGCAAGAACGATATATTATTGTTGTTATGGCTTTTTAAATTTAGCAGAAATACATTTATGTTCAAAAATATATAAACATATAAAATTTATTGTTTTGTCAATAGCTAAAGAAATAGAACGCGAAAAAAAATTATTAGAAATTTTAAATCTTATTCAAAATAGGAGAGTACGGAAGTTGATTTTTTAAATAAAGTTGATATGGAGAAAGCTCTTTTTTCATTTATTGTATATGAAATTTGTCAATCAATATGATATGACAAATCTAATAACTATTTCGCTAAACAATTTTTTCTTGCCTTTTTATATTTTAACAAATATAAATATAACATATTATGCAATGGAATTGTTAAATAGCTTTACTTTTTTTAAAATTATCATGGAATAATTAAAGTTTTTTGTAAGAAAAGAGTTTAAAAAAGGCTATTTAGTGTGGCCGGTTATAAAAATTTACATTTTGTTAACATACCTTAAGGTATGAGGTCGATTTCTTTCCCTTTTATATAATTTTTTTTTCTAATATTTTTTAAATATTCAGTAGATCAATTAAAAATGATATCGAAAAATTTCTTTATGAACAAATCTTGCACTACAGAAAGGGGAAATATTTAATTCTTTTCTCTTTATAGTCTGATATGACATAATTACTTTTTTTGTAGTGAAAAATGAATGAAAAATGTAATACATATTTATATTTTTAAAGTATACGTGTTATGTATACTTTAAATATGATAGTTATTAAAACAACAATTATCATTTTTTAAAACTCTTTTATTTTTCATAATACGATTATTGATGCGCAAAAGACATTCCCGTTAAAATTTTATATTACTTAAATTTCTTGNTTCTTTTATTTTTCATTATACGATTATTGATGCGCAAAAGACATTCCCGTTAAAATTTTATATTACTTAAATTTCTTGAGTGAAATGTAAAATAGCCGTTTACTCATCAAAACTTTTGTACTAAAAAACGAACTAATTTTCAATGTTTGCAATTAGTGTATGAGCCCTTACCACCAAGATGTATCTTAGATGGACGAGAAGCACGTTGTGTAATGTGTCGCAGTCAAGTAACAGATGATGATGATGATGAACTGTCAAAGAGTTACATAATGATACCATGTGGTCATGGTTGGTATTGTGAAGATTGCATTGAGAACAAAAAGTGTTCAATATGTTTACAGAAAAAAACAGATAAATTGTGTATAATATTAAAAAACAATGAATTGGATTCAGAATAATCCGTGTTCATTATGGCGCATTGGTATTACAGATACATTGTGTGTAAATTTGTAAAACAATGAATAAATCTATTAATGTTATTTCTTTAATTAATATTACTTTGGTTCATNCATTGTGTATAAATTTGTAAAACAATGAATAAATCTATTAATGTTATTTCTTTAATTAATATTACTTTGGTTCATTTAAAACCCTTTTGTTCCTTAAATATACATGTTCCTTATTTGTACAAAATTACATTTCTAATAATGCTATTTAATATTAATCATTATGACCGTTTAGAACAATAAAAAATGTTCGTTCACGACGTATGATAGGAACCATCCGTTAGCGAACGGTCATAAATAACAAAAGAAAGGTTTGACCCTTACACTTNGATCGAACGAACGGTCATAAATAACAAAGGAAAGGTTTGACCCTTACACTTGCCTTTTAGACAAACATAATATTATTTACCTAAAATATAATTTTGAATTAAAATCGTTTTAATTAAATAAATTTATTAAACAAAATCAATTATTCGTTTAAGTATCTATAATCGGAAATAAGGGAACTAAGGCCCCCCAGTTTGAGTAAGATTCCCTAATTGACTTAGGAACATAAAAAAAATATTTAATATATATTTTTATTAATAAAAATATATTTATTATAATAAATATTATTACAATTAATTGTGTTTACAAAATACAAAACATAAATTAGTTTAAAAAACCATTGAAATTTACAAACAAAAATTTTTAGTTAAATATTAAAAATTATTTTAAATAATACTATTATCTATGTGTAATATAATATAAACTATATCAATCACTAGTTGATCATTAAATTTTATTATTAAAAATTGTTATGTATATTTATGTTATCATATTTTCACATTAATTTTTTTATATTCATTTATAAAATGCATTTCCAAATTATTTCTAGACAACTTACAGTGCATCAGTAATACATAATATTTGTTTACTATCTTATTAAATGCAGCGAAACCTTATTTGAGATAATTGAGTAATAAAAACAAATATCACATTATTTAATAAAATTCATATGAAAAATGCAATCAAAAAATACATTGTATACAGAGTGATTTTTTTATCATAACCCACTCAATTACTTACAGAATAATAATAAATTAAACATTTTTATTTTCGATTATCCTTAGTTACACATTATACTTGAATTATTAACTATGTAATACTTTTTAAGTTCATTCCTTATGCCTGGTAAGGATGTCAACTTTGTTTTTTTAAATGAGAACACATATTTTGAATTTAATAAAATGTTTGAGTTTTTAATTTAATAGTAAATGGCGTTTGAATTTTTAGTATAACTTAATTAGTTTATTAGATATAAACACTTAAAGTTTCAAATTTTTGAGTTAATTTACATGTATAATACACAAGGGTTTACAAATACAGGTAGCTAATTGATTTTTTATGACATCGATATTAGCAGGTACACAGCATTGTTATTATCAATTGTAGTAAGGCACATTGTTGTGAGTTTATAAATACACTAANCAAGGCACATTGTTTTGAGTTTATAAATACACTAATTGACAATACAAAAAATTTATCTGTTGATAGTCATAATTGATAATAATCCATCCTTGACTGTGATAGCAATTTCATTAAAAACCAATTAGCTATCTGTNTGATAGCAATTTCATTAAAAACCAATTAGCTATCTGTATATTATATTCACTATTATAAATTAATTTCCATTTTTCAATTAATATTTTAAATAAATTGAAACATAATATCATATTATGATTACTCAGTAATATTAATTAAAACTCGTAATAACTATTTTGTTGGTTGCATCCTTGCTCCTCGTAATAAACCATCTTTTGAAAATTTACCTTGAGTTTTTTGTGAAAATTATTCATGAAATTAT